GCCTGCAAGTTGCAGTGCTTTTTGGTGAACCTCTTCTTCATTGGTACGGCTGCTGGTGTTGATGCAGAGCATCGACGGCAATTTCACATTCCGGTGGTCAAGCCCAGATAACTGCTGCGATGTCTCCTTCGTATTTGTGGAAAGGGGCATGGCGTCATCATGCGTTGTACTTCGGTCTGCCCTGGATGACCACAGTCGTACCACGCCTACTGGAGAATTTTCAACGTTCCATTTGTACATCAGGTATCCGCATCCACCATGCCTTGTGCAGCGAGTGGTGAACCATGAGCTTCGTGGAAGAGCAAACCCCAGAGGATCTTCTGCTTTGGGTCTTTCAATCCACCGATGAGAACACATAACGAGAGTCGTCGGAGTCGACTAGCAGTGGCCCAACGCACGTGCGGCCATGCGGGCACACGCGAGAGAGCGCTAGAGCGCGAGATTCCCCCACGGGCAGCGCTGTGAAGTGGCACGGCACGGCATAGCACAGCACGGCACGGCAGGGCACGGCATGGCACGGCACGGTACGCATGGCACAGCATAGCATGGCACGGCACAGTACGCATGGCACGGCATAGCATGGCATGGCACGGCATGGCACGGCATGGCATGGCATGGCACGGCATGGCACGGCACGGCATGACACGACACGGCATGGTGCACATGGCACGGCACGGCATGGCATGGCACGGCATGACACGGACATGGTGCACATGGCACGGCATGGCACGGCATGGCACTGCACGAGCAGCCCACCGGCTCGCCGTGCCCGCGGCTCCGAGCGTCATCGTCCCCCCTGGCCCGCCCGCCCGCCCGCACGACGTCTCGTTGCTGCGCTCCCGTTGCTCCTGCAGGTGCCAGATGCCTCCACCCTGCCCCCACGTTTCCAGGCGCGCGTCGTGACGTGTAAAGTAGGTAACGTGGTGGCTAGAAGATGTTAACTGCCTCACCGGGTATACAGGATATCTTGGGTTCGATCCCGACCCTTGACTCCTGTTGTATATTTTGAGTTTGCGTGTCTCTCTCTCCCCGTGGTCGCGTGGATTTTTCTCCGGGTCCTCCGGGTTTTCCCTCCACATTTAGAATCAACAACACGTGTTTAGAGTATTTGGCTGCTTAAATTTTCCACGTTGACAGCCACTTCGGCGAGCTATCATTCGTAGCCAGGTTGCTTCTCAAACAGAGCTACGTAGAGCTGAGCGAGCCTTACCCGGTAAAGTAAAACATTGCTTCGTTTTACTGCAAGGTCTGACCACGTCCGTCCAGTACTCGCCGAGTTACAATTGGCTTCCGGTGGCTGAACAAATACCATGATGACGGTCGCGCTCATTACACACATAGCGCTTGCCACAAATGAACCACAATACCTCGCCGATTTCGTCAAGGATCATAAACCACCATCGCGCGAACTCCGGCCACTTTCGCAGTCGGCGGCGTTTGACTGAACCGTCGAAGAAAGACGGCGGTCACCGGATCATTGTGCGGCGCTTTCGGATGCGCTTCTGCGGCCGTCTGGAACGCTCTTCCTTTCCGATATTCGGTTGTCACTGGAGCTATCCACTTTTAAATCCTCTGGATTGAAAACTAACGTCTTTAGAACTGCTTGTCGTGCTTAGTTATTCGTCCTTGTCCCGCACCTCCGATCAGCGCGGTTGGCTACGTACGGTGCAAAAAAAGTTTCGCACACACTATCATCCAGTACGTTCCAGGACGCCCCTAAAGAGAAACACTCCTCGAAGCTCAGTCGCTGAGTTCTCAGTGGGAATTTAATCCCATTGAGGACTCTCGCCGCAAGCAGTGCATCTCCTTGAGTTACAGAATGTCAGGTGGTTGATGACACAGATGACCTCACGTAACTACTTCCGGGTTCCGTTCGTTTCCCTCTGAGCACACGGTGATCAAGGGCACCTTGCCACACGCCCTGCTGCAGATAACTTTAAACCAATGTTTTTTTGCATGAACATTTTTTGTTTGTTCGTTTTAGCAGTGAAAGGCCCACTGAGACGGTTTTTATAGCTCTTTAATCAGAAGCAACCTGGCTATCACAAATGATAGCTCAACGAAGTGGCTCATCACGTGGAAATGTAAATGCTCTAAAGACACGTTCATGCTAAATGTGGAGAGAAAGACCAGAGGACCCGGATATAAATCCACGCGACCCCGGGGAGAAAGACATCGCAAACTCCAAATATACGGCAGGCGTCAGAGTCAGGATCGAACCCACGTCCTCCTGCATACCAGGCGAGGTAGTTAACATCTCCTAGCCACTGTGGCGCCTCTGTGTTGTATCACACGGTGACAAAACGGAAACTTTGTTCATCCCCCAGACATGGATAACAACAAATTGAGTGAGAAAAAACATTTAATTACGGGTTTTTTTTGGTGCAGCTACTGGTATCCTGGCTAAGACCATCAACTGTGCACTTGGGAATCCACTTTAATCCCAACTCGGTCTATACGAGTCCATAGAGGTCTGTGTACAAGTCGTCATTTACCCAGATGGCAACATCAACTCTGTGTACATGAGAACCCACTTTAATCCCAACTCGGTCTATACGAGTCTATAGAGGTCTGTGTACAAGTCATCATTTACCCAGATGGCAACATTAACTCTGTGTACATGAGAATCCACTTTAATCCCAACTCGGTCTATACGAGTCTATAGAGGTATGTGTACAAGTCGTCATTTACCCAGATGGCAACATCAACTCTGTGTACATGAGAACCCACTTTAATCCCAACTCGGTCTATACGAGTCCATAGAGGTCTGTGTACAAGTCATCATTTACCCAGATGACACCATCTGGGTAGCCGCCGCTGTCACCTCTTGTTTCACGCGTAAGTAACAACGACGCCGCGTGTCTTCCCTCGCACTGCGCTCTCTCTCTCGAGAATGAGATTGTGCGAAATACACTGTTTGAAGATGTTATTTGATTATTATGCAATGAACAAACTGATCTCAAAAAGTCAATCTCCGATGGTCAATTTCACCTTATGAACACCATATGACGCTGCCTCTCTTTGTATCTAGACTATGCCAATCCTGGCTATATTAAAGAATATATTTTGGTTACATTTATATAATTCAAACAAAAAAACGTGGTAAAAAACATTTGTAGACCCTTTTAGTTTCCGTAGGCCCCAGGCACAGTGCATTATGTGGCCTATTAGATAACACGGCCCTGGTGGGTGGGTGAGAGGGTGAGAGGGTGAATGGGTGGCTGGCTGGGTGAGTGGGTGAATGAGTGACTGGTGGGTGAATGAATGGTTGATGAGTGGGTAGGTGAATGAGTGGGTGAATGAATGAGCGGGTGACTGGGTGAGTGAGTGGGTGGGTGGTTGAATGAGTGAGTGGGTGACTGGGTGAGTGAGCGAGTGGCTGGTGAGTGGGTGAATGAATGAATGGGTGGCTCTGTGAGTGAGTGGGTGAATGAATGAGCGGGTGACTGGGTGAGTGAGTGAGTTGCTGTATGGGTGAGTGGGTCAATGAAAGAGTGGGTGAATGAGTGAGTGAGTAGATGAGTGAGTGAGTAGATGGTTGAGTGAGTGGGTGAATGAAGGAGTGGGTGGCTGGCTGGGTGAGCGAGTGGGTGGGTGAATGAGTGAGTGGGTGACTGGGTGAGTGAGCGCGTGGCTGGGTGAGTGAGTGACTGAGTGGGTGAATGAAAGAGTGGGTGGCTGGGTGAGTGAGTGGGTGGGTGAATGAGTGAGTGGGTGACTGGGTGAGTGAGCGATTGGCTGGGTGAGTGAGTGGGTGAATGAATGAGTGGGTGGCTCGGTGAGTGAGTGGGTGAATGAATGAGTGGGTGACTGGGTGAGTGAGTGAGTAGCTGGCTGAGTGAGTGGGTGAATGAAAGAGTGGGTGAATGAGTGAGTGAGTGGGTGGGTGAATTGGTGAGTGAGCGAGTGGCTGGATGAGTGAGTTGGGTGAATGAATGAGTGGGTGGCTCGGTGAGTGAGTGGGTGAATGAATGAGTGGGTGGCTGGGTGAGTGTGTGAGTGCATGAGAGGGTGAATGAAAGAGTGGGTGGCTGGGTAACTGAGTGGGTGGGTGAATGAGTGAGTGAATGAATGAGTGGGTGATTGGGTGAGTGAGCGAGTGGCTGGGTGAGTGAGTTGGGTGAATGAATGAGTGGGTGGCTCGGTGAGTGAGTGGGTGAATTAAAGAGTGGGTGGCTGGGTAACTGAGTGGGTGGGTGAATGAGTGAGTGGGTGAGTCAGCGAGTGGCTGGCTGGGGGAGTGAGTGGGTGAATGAATGAGTGGGTAGCTCGGTGAGTGAGTGGGTGAATGAATGAATGAGTGGGTGACTGGGTGAGTGAGCGAGTGGGTGAATGAGCGAGTGGGTGAATGAGTGAGCGGGTGACTGGGTGAGTGAGTGAGTGAATGAGTGGGTGGCTGGCTGGCTGGGTGAGCGAGTGGGTGAATGAGCGAGTGGGTGAATGAGCGAGTGGGTGAATGAGTGAGTGGCTGGGTGAGTGAGCGAGTGGCTGGGTGAGTGAGTGGCTGGCTTGGTGAGTGAGTGGGTGAATGAATGAGTGGGTGACTGGGTGACTGAGTGAGTGGCTGGCTGGGTGAGCGAGTGGGTGAATGAATGAGTGGGTGACTGGGTGAGTGGGTGGCTGGCTGGGTGAGCGAGTGGGTGAATGAGTGAGCGGGTGAATGAGTGAGCGGGTGACTGAGTGGGTGGCTGGCTGGGTGAGAGAGTGGGTGAATGAGTGAGCGGGTGACTGTGTGACTGAGTGAGTGGCTGGCTGGGTGAGTGAGTGGCTGGCTGGGTGAGTGGCTGGCTGGGTGAGCGAGTGGGTGAATGAGTGAGCGGGTGAGTGAGTGGGTGAATGAATGAGCGGGTGACTGGGTGAGCGATTGGGTGAATGAGTGAGCGGGTGACTGGGTGAGCGAGTGGGTGAATGAATGAGTGGGTGACTGGGTGAGCGAGTGGGTGGCTGTCTGGGTGAGCGAGTGGGTGAATGAGTGAGCGGGTGACTGGGTGAGAACTCACCACCAGCAGCAGCGGCATGAGCAGCAGAGCGGCGAGCCACGCGAGCGGCGAGCGGCTCCCCATCGGCGTGTCGGGAGAGAGGCGACGAAGACGACGACGTTCGACGTGGAACGCCTCCGGCATCCCGCGGGAACTCCTCAACCGAGCCTCTTGTGAGACCGCGACCGGGCCACCCATTCATCGAGACGCCAACTATTTGTGTTGTTATTGCTGTTGTTGTTGATTAATTTGAATGGATCGCAAGAGAGTGTGACCCCCGCGAAGACACCGAACAACAACACCGACAAACAAAATGCCAAAGCGAGCGGGCCGGGGGGGGGGTGGGTGGCAATCCGGTCCACGTGCTCCGTGGGTAGAACTGTGATCGTTGTGAAGTTCAAAGCAACTTGACGCGCAGCGCCGCGTGGCGAGATGGAGAGAGGCGACGGTGACGTCGGGGAGGGGAGCGAAAGCTTCTTCTTGTTGTTGTTGACCTTTGCAGGTTGGAGAGAGGGCATGAGATGGCAGTGGCGGTGGTGGTGCTGATGGTGATGATGGTGCGCTCCTTGTTGGGAGAGGAGCAAGACTGCGTAACACCTCCAATCACCCCACCCACCTCCTCCTCCTCCCTGGGGAGACCGAGCGAGAGCGGCGAAGCCTGAACGCAGGGAATCGACGGCGGCTGTGGATATCGCTTACAGGGGAGGCCACCTGGCCCCGCCACCGCTCACGGGGGATGGGGGGGGGGTAACGGCCGTGCGGAGATCGAATGGCTCGGGGTTTGTGCATCAGCATCCAACCGAGCTAGCGCTGCTCTTTCTAGAGCAGTTAGAAACCTCCCTCGCCCCCTCCCCCTCGCCCCCCCTCTCTCCCCTCCCTCTCTCTACCCCCTTTCTCTCTCTACCCCCCCTCTCCCCCCTCTCTCTCTACCCTCCCTCTCTCTCTACCCCCTCTCTCTCTCTACCCCCTCTCTCTCTCCCCCCTCTCTCTCCACCCCCTCTCTCTCTCTACCCCTCTCACTCTCTACCCCCCTCTCTCTCTCTCTCTACCCCCTCTCTCTCTCTCTACCCCCCTCTCTCTCTCTACCTCCTCTCTCTCTACCCCCCTCTCTCTACCCCACCTCTCTCTCTACCCCCCTCTCTCTAACCCCCCCCCCTCTCCCTACCCCCTCTCTCTCTACCCCCTCTCTCTCTACCCCCCCTCTCTCTCTACCCCCCCCATCTCTCTACCCCCCCCTCTCTCTACCCCCCCTCTCTCTACCCCCCTCTCTCTACCCCCTCTCTCTCTCTCTACCCCCTCTCTCTCTCTCTACCCCCTCTCTCTCTACCCCCCCTTCTCCCTACCCCCTCTCTCTCTACCCCCCTCTCTCTCTACCCCCCCCGCCTCTCTCTCTACCCCCTCTCTCTCTACCCCCCCTTCTCTCTACCCCCTCTCTCTTTCTACCCCCTCTCTCTCTACCCCCCCCCTCTCCCTACCCCCTCTCTCTACCCCCCCTCTCTACCCCCTCTCTCTCTCTCTCTACCCCCTCTCTCTCTACCCCCCTCTTTCTCTACCCCCCCTCTCTCTCTAACCCCCCCCCCCTCTCTCTCTACCCCCTCTCTCTTTCTATCCCCTCTCTCTCTACCCCCCTCTCTCTCTACCCCCTCTCTCTACCCCCTCTCTCTCTCTACCCCCCTCTCTCTCTACCCCCTCTCTCTCTCTACCCCCCCCTCTCTCTCTACCCCCCCCTCTCTCTCTCTACCCCCTCTCTCTCTCTACCCCCCCCTCTCTCTACCCCCTCTCTCTCTCTACCCCCCCCTCTCTCTACCCCCCCCCCCTCTCTCTAACCCCCCCCTCTCTCTCTACCCCCCTCTCTCTCTACCCCCCCCATCTCTCTCTACCCCCTCTCTCTTTCTACCCCCCCTTCTCTCTTTCTACCCCCTCTCTCCCCACTCTATGTCTACGTTCCCCCTCCCTCTCCCGTCCCTCCCTCTCCCGTCCCTCCCTGTCTGCCCCCAGTCTGTCACTCACGCACACAAACTCAGAGGCCAAGAAGGGGTGGTGGTCTCCTGGCAACAGTGCCCGCTATTCACCATCCCCCAGGGCGCACGCACACAACAATAGCGCGAGCGGGAGTTGACTTGGATTTTATTTTGATATTAATTACACACTTTAATTTAACTTGCCCTGTTGTCTGCTGGGATTTTTTTTATTTTCTCTTAAGTCTTTGACGCTTATTATCTTCGGATCTACGAAGCCGAACGAGCTGCAATTGTTGAGCGCACAAAGACTCGTTTTCGTCTCACGTGGCGATTCAAGATTTGCGATTAAAGAACCGGTCCAGATCCCACCGATCCTGGTTTTTTTTTACTTATTTTGTATTGCACTATGTGGAATATATTACAACTATCCAGACAATAAAGAACAATTGTTATTGTCTGGATTGAGATCTTAGAATTAATATGTACGTATGGAATTTTTTTTTGTTACAGATTAACATAAAAACAAATTTTTTAAGTAACTGATAAACACCAAGTTTTTTCAATGCGCACACTTTTATAACCACTCAAAAGTAGAAAATAAATTGTTTTTACTCTAGAATTAATCGCGTTTGATGTGCTGAATAAAAGTGGGGGGCTTGCATTAATGGGAATTAAAGACATCGAAAGGAAGCCACCCACTTGTATTCATCACATAAAATGTAATACATCCCGAGGTCAAAGTCATTTATCTTCAACTTTTGAGGGCAAATAAAAAGCGTGCGCGCATTGCAAAACTAGTTTTTGTTTTACCATTTTTTTGTTTGTTATTCAATCGCAAATTGACCACAGGCACGTTAAGTGCAACAACTACTTTGTTTCATCAAACCCTATACCAGTGCCGGAATGTCCTAGGAGCAAAAGTAGCTATTGCTGCTGCTACACGTGTAGCTGCTGCTACACGTGTTGCTGCTACACGTGTAGCTGCTGCTACACGTGTTGCTGCTACACGTGTAGCTGCTGCTACACGTGTAGCTGTTGCTGCTTCTACACGTGTAGCTGCTGCTGCTACACGTGTAGCTGCTGCTGCTGCACGTGTAGCTGCTGCTGCTGCACGTGTAGCTGCTGCTGCTGCACGTGTAGCTGCTGCTGCTACACGTGTAGTTGCTGCTACATATGTAGTTGCTGCTACATATGTAGTAGCTACGGGCCCCGCACTTTCAAGGGCCCCGCGCTAAATGCTTTCAAGCTGTCAATTCCTGTTCAGTGATTCTTCACTTGCTCTATTACTATAGTATTATACCGCCTTCAACTTTTATGAACGACTGGGTGTTTAAGGTTAGCGATTTGTTGTATTATCTTGCTGTATAGCAAATGAAAAAAATACAATTACTTTAATATGCAACTAAAAAAATTATTGCGTTTTTTATTTTAGGGACCCTTTGTAACATATGCTACGGGTCCCGCACTAGCTCAATCCGACACTGCCCTACACGTTAACATTGTACATTTTATATTCTTGGTTCTTTCGGTAAAGTCACGTAGAAGGGAAACAATAAAATAATAAAAATATAAAACAATTATTGTTCCCCTTCTACGTGACTTTACCGAAAGAAACAAGAATATGAATCCCTGCAGTCACGAAAGCTTTAAATAAAAATTGCAAATTTAGTTTAACGGGTGCAAGGCTGCAGTAGAGGTTACATAAGAAGAACCGCTGCTTTAAAGAGTCTCCAGTGGCAGGGTCTCAGGGCAGCACTGAACCGGGGCTTCATTCACCACCACCGCCGCCACCCATCGTCGTTAAAGGGGTCACCACCGCGGCTATGGGGAGACCCCTAGCGTCGTAGCAACACTGCCCATAGACTCAGCACTGCACCATAGACTCAACACTACCAATAGACTCAACACTGCCCATAGACTCAACACTGCCCATAGACTCAACACTGCCCATAGACTCAACACTACCCATATACTTAACACTACCCATAGACTCAACACTGCACCATAGACTCAACACTGCCCATAGACTCAACACTGCCCATAGACTCAACACTGCCCATAGACTCAACACTGCACCATAAACTCAATACTGCCCATAGACTCAACACTACCCATAGACTTAACACTGCCCATAGATTCTAGATTCAAAGCTTTCGTGACTGCTAGGATCCATACTCTTTGGTTCTATTGGGTAAAGTCACGTGGGTAAAGTAGGTGACTTTACCCAATAGAACCAAAGAGTATACTGCCCATAGACTCAACACTGCACCACAGACTCAACACTGCCCATAGACTCAACACTGCCCATAGACTCAACACTACCCATAGACTCAACACTACCCATAGACTCAACACTGCCCATAGACTCAACATTGCCCATAGACTCAACACTGCCCATAGACTCAACACTACCCATAGACTCAACACAGCCCATAGACTCAACACTGCCCATAGACTCAACACTGACCATAGACTCAACGCTGCCCATAGACTCAACGCTGCCCATAAACTCAACACTGCCCATAGACTCAACACTACCGATAGACTCAACACTACCGATAGACTCAACACTGCCCATAGACTCAACACTGCCCATAGACTCAACACTGCCCATAGACTCAACACTGCCCATAAACTCAACACTGCCCATAGACTCAACACTGCACGATAGACTCAACACTGCCCATAGACTCAACACTGCCCATAAACTCAACACTACCCATAGACTCAACACTGCACGATAGACTCAACACTGCCCATAGACTCAACACTGCCCATAAACTCAACACTACCCTTAGACTCAACACTGCACCATAGACTCAGCACTGCCCATAAACTCAACACTGCCCATAGATTCAACACTGCCCATAGACACAACACTGCCTGTAGACACAACACTGCCCATAGACTCAACACTGCCCATAGACTCAACACTGCCCATAGACTCAACACTGCCCATAAACTTAACACTACCCATAGACTCAACACTGCCCTAAGATTCTAGATTTAAAGCTTTCGTGACTGCTAGGATCCATACTCTTTGGTTCTATTGGGTAAAGTCACGTGGGTAAAGTAGGTGACTTTACCCAATAGAACCAAAGAGTATACTGCCCATAGACTCAACACTGCACCACAGACTCAACACGGCCCATAGACTCAACACTGCCCATAGACTCAACACTGCCCATAGACTCAACACTGCCCATAGACTCAACACCGCCCATAGACTCAACACTGCCCATATACTGAACGCTACCCATAGACTATAACTACCTAAAGACTCAATATTACCCATAGACTGACACTACCCAAAGACTCAACACTGCACCTCCGATGAGCACGGTTGGCTACGTACGGTGCTAAAGAAGTTCAACATACATGCAACATACGTGTGCCGAGTCGGAGATATGCAAAGGACACACACTGTCCGCTGATGTATGTTGTTATTTATATTCTCCGCCACGAATCTAATGACCCTTTAAAGTCAGCGGGTGGCAAGTGGAGTGTTGTTAACCATCACACCTCCGTTGTAGCCGCAGACCGCTGCGCTTTCTCAGTCTACGCCCTGGGGTGTCCGCGCAACCTGCCATGGGTTTGTGCAGTGGATGCGATTTTTAGCTCAAGGGTCCACCCTCAACCGCATCCACTGCACGAACCGTGGGCAGTAGCTGCGGGTGATACCTGATGCGCAAACGGACAAATTGAAACGAACTCTCCAGTCGTGGTGGGACTGTGGGTCATCTAGAACAGCGGTCAACAACCTTTTTGGCATCAGGGACCGGTTTCGTGGAAGATAATGTTTTCACGGATCCGGGGAGGGGGGTTCATTATTGGGTCTTTCCCCCTTTTCAAATAAGCTCTCCAGCGATGTTTTTTTTTACTCATTGT